ACAAATATGATATATATATATATGTATGTATGTATGTATGTATGTATGTATGTATGTATGTATGTATGTATGCATGCATGCATGCATGTATGTATGTAATTATGCACGTACGTACGCACGACTGTATGTATGTATGTATTTATGCATGTAAATATGCAGCAGGATTGCATGTAAGTGGGTATGTACGTAGGTGTGTGTGTGTGTAGGTGTAGGTGTGTGTGTCTGTGGTATGAGGTATCGGTAAGCATATGTTCCATGGAAAATCGAAGCGCCCCCCTCGAACGCACTTCGGGCACAAAGCCAGTTTAGGGAAGGCGCTGCATGTCGTAGGCCGACAAAGAACGGGCGACCTTTCAAGGGGTGCAACAGCAGAACCCCCTTCTTGTAGGATGGTTTAGGGTTCAATGATGCAGTTGTTAAGGGCGGGAGCCAAGGTTCGTGATACTGGTGCATAGAGCTTCCTCGGCTTGGCGTCCTGCAGAAACAAGGCTGTGATGCCTTGACCCTCGCAGAGAAGCGCTGACAGCCAGATTGCTGATGATGATGGCCGTCGCAGTAACTCTATACCCTACACATCCGAAGGCCCTAAACAACAGTTGTAATTACTGGCCATATCCAGGTACTGGCAAAAATATGTAGCAACCAACTAAGATCCAATCAAACCAACTAAAGCAACTCATCATGACAGTAGAAGAAGTGACACAAAACAACACAACGAAACATGGCCGTCGCCCAAAAATGATACTGTTGATGATATAAATCCTGCATTACCTTAAGGACCCTAAACTATGGATATTATGGTATGTTCCTCATTGTGGGTAATGCAGGATTTATATCATCAACCGTACGACGACGAGTCCGAGGAAGCCCTGCCAGGGGCCCCCAGCAGTTCCTGCGGCCGCACCAGCAGTGAGGAAGGTGCGAGAGACCTGTGAAGTTTTAGAGGAACTGTATTGCTTCGGCCATTAGGAATCAGGGTCCAGGGTTTAGGTTAGGGTCTAGGCCTTAGGGTTTCAGGGTTTAGGGTTTACGGCTCAGGGTTTAGGGTTCAGGGTTTAGGGTTCTTTTTGGGGGTTCAGGAACGCCAGTACGGTTGGCTTAAGGTTTATGCTTATTACAAGGTTTGTAGACTCTGGGGGTTCCTGTACGGGTTTCCATCTCGGTGACTTTCAGGGGAACGGCTTCTATCAGTGTCCTGTAAGGGTCAGGGGTTCAGGGTTTCGGATTTGTGGGGAGGTTTAAGGACTGCAAGGTTTGGGTCCAGGGTTGCTGCAAGGAGATCAGAGTTTCGCACTTTTGGAGGTTGAGGTGGTCCGTGGTGCATCTCTTCCTGCAGAGTGCAGATCCTCAAGCTCCAAGGGGTGTTGTGGTACTGCCCGAACCACAACTGTTACACAGAAAGCGTGTATCGCTGTCCCAAGCTGACTTCTGATAAGATCTCAGAGTGCAAACGGGGCCCCAACAAGAAGCCGGGGTCTGCTGTGCTTGGATTCTGTTGTTTACAAATACTACCCGGCCTGTCGATACGATTTCTAGTCCGGCTGCTCAGTTGCCGTTTGAGGCAACCTAAAACCCAACCGTCGTCTGCTTCGCACCTCCTGACCAGCACCAATCTCTGCGAAACTGCCGTAGATGGTGTTGTCGAGGTTCACTTGCAGGGCCTTCTCGCACAAACCATTGGCTCTGGGGCTTATAAAGCTCCGAGTTTCGGATTTCTCGGACATCTTGAATGGATGCTGTTTTCTTTCGGTTATCATGGCAGCTTTCGACGCCAAACCTATTTGGGGCAACTGACACGCCCAAGCTCGAAGCATGCAATTCCTTGTTGTAGAGACTCTCCCTTCAGCGGGTATCTATAGTCAGCATTTACCTCTGGAGTCGCACTACGGGAGTCGAGGAATACACAACTGACGGCAGACGCAGAAACCGTGCCGTCTCTCAGAAGTGTCGGACGACAATCTCGACTGCTGACTTGGCAGACTTGGCATGGGCGTCGCCTTGTCGAAGGAGCTTGCCCCCAGGTCCTGCAGCCGCACCACATGCACATGGCTGGACATCGACCACAATACGCACAGCACGCAGTATAGCTACGGCCCATGTTGAAAAGTTTTCTTAACCGCCTGAAATCACCGCGCCTTGAGGAGCAGTAGCTCCTTCCAGGTCGTCGAGGGCTTCCCGTTCTTTGGGGCGCTGGACGACTGCAGCGACAAGCGAAGGCATTGCACAAAGGTGGCATGCCACCATCCAAACAAACATGTTCCGACTTGCTCTGTGGCTGCCTCCTGCAACTGTGTCGACGATTGCGAGTGATCTTTAGAACGAACCGGCAAAGTGGCTGCAACTGCTGACCGAGTCTCTGAGTGTTGGTTGCTGTGAGCGTCCATCACAACCGGACTGGAACCCCAACCCTAAACCCTAAACCGCGTGTGGTTTTGTACTTGTTGCAGCCACCAGCAGGCCTCTGAGGGCCTGTGATCCTCCGCAGGTCGCTGCAGAGGTTCGACAGGATATGCAGAAGATAATTTTGAGGGCAAAGATGGCAGGAAAACCATCTAGACACATATACGGGAGAACTACACAGCTGATGTACTGCTACTACTGCTACTTCTGCTACTGCTGCTGCTGTTACTACTGCTGCTGCTGCTGCTGCTGCTGCTACTACTACTACTACGACGACTGCTATGTTCCTTCTTCTGTCTGTAGCTAGGGGGCCCGAAGCATGGCGCGGCCTCCTCCTTATTGTCGTTGTCCCATGGGAACTTGATGTTTCCCAGAAACTTTCCAAAGGCCTGGCCATAGTCCACTGATGGCCCGGACATTCGATGCTGAAGCTAAATGCAGTGCATGCACTCATGACACCACAGAAGCATGGCCACCACGCAATTCTCACGCCTCTCTGATCCAAAGGCCGCGCTCTTACAAAATCTTGCCCTCATCCCACAATCATACTTCCGAGGAACAAAACCGGTGAGGGAACACAACTCATTGCTCCTATGGACTGCGATTCGTTCAAGTCAGTCGTGCAAACAACCTACTTACAAGGGCTAGATCAGAGAGCATAACCTTCTATCTTATAACCCTCAAAACAAACCTTTTCACCCATAAATAAAATCTTACAGCCGGGCCTTTCGCTCCAGCCGCGCTGCACGCCGCGCCCGGCGTCCGCGGAGGGCGGCTGCGGCCCCTTTGAAACTCTCTTGAGCGTTTAGGGGTTAGGATTTGGAGCTTGCTGTATAGAACCCCTATAATTGCCGTAGGCTTACTCTTCAACCTCTGCTGCTCCTCCTCGTCCTATGATTATACTACTACCACAACTCCTACCAGGACTACGAATACGGCCAGGACTAAGACTCGCATGGCTTGGGCTCCGACTCGGATTAGCTGCGTTGCAGCCGACGACGACTACAACTGACGACGGAGATCCCGGAGCCTCGTAGCCATGTACGCATGAGACCCGATAACTATACTACGGCTACGACTACGGACTGTACGGCTTGCACTACGACTGCAGGGCTAGGACTACGAGGGCTGTTACTGCTGCGGCTGCTGCTGCTGATCCGGCTACTATCGCGACGACGACGGAGGACGACTACGAGTGGACCCCTACGACACTACTACTGAGGCACTTATACTTTGTTGCGGCCAGGATTATCTGTGCTGCTGCCCTGGATTCGGGCGACACGAGCTGTTGAGTGCTATCGGTCGGCAGAATCGCAGGTGGGCGGCGTAGGCAGTGGGGATACAGAACAGATCACAGGGACTTCAACCCATCCTCCCACACAGCCACCCACACCAGCCAGCATTCACCAAGCTCTCGCCTGCGAGGGCCGCGGCCGCCGGCGTCAAAGCCGCGGGCGCCTCTCCCACTTGAGCGAGTTCAGAAAGTTTTTGTTTCGGGGGGGGGGGGGGGNNGGGGGGGGAACGGAGCGCAGTGAGGGTATGATTCTGACCTTCGCCCAGAACCAGGCATGGTGACGGAAGAGCATCTAAAGACATTTGCCAACACGCAAATGCTTTCATGCACATACACACGCATGTATTCATGCAGGCATCTCGGCACGTGTACGCATGTCTGCGTCTCTGTGTGCATGGCCGTCTGTCTGCCTTTCTCTCCACATCCGATGCTAAGTGCCTGCCTCTGTTTGCTGCCATGCCGACTGCCGACCTACTTGATTCAATTTTAAATGCCCGCATTACAGGCCATGAATGCAGATTCCGATGCGGATACATACAAGTCAATACATGTATGTAAACTCACGTAAACATTTACTGACATTCGCACATGTGCCATAGATAGAGAGAAGGAGAGACGGAGAGAGAAAGAAGAGAGAAGCACAGAGGGAGAGAGCCAGGGACAGACAGCTAGGCACACACCCACACAGAATTGCGCTCGCACGCCTACGCATGAATGCAGCAGCTACTGCATAGTTGACGTTGGTGTGCAGATCTTACACTACATTGCACTACAGTGCACTATGCTGCACGACCATTTCAAGCCGTGTGTGCTGTGTCTCGATGCGAGGGAATAAGCATACATGCTGACGTCCATCCATCCATCCATCCATCCNNACCTACATACATACGTACCTACATACGTACCTTCATACATACATACATACGTACATACATACATACATACCTACATACCTACATGCATACATACATACATACATACATACATGAATGCATATGACATACATACATTACATACATTACATGCATTACATACATTTCATGACATACATACATACATACATACATACATAAACACATACATACAGTACATCCATCCATTCGTACATCCATCCATCCTTCCATCCATCCAACCATCCAGCCATCCATCCAGCCATCCATCCATCCATGCATCCATCCATCCATGCATACGTGCATGCATACTTGAGCATATAACATACTTAAATATTACGTATAACATACCTGCATGCCTGCATACAGACCTACATAACTACATACCTGCATGCTGTATGCATGTATGTTTGTATGTAAGTCTGTCTGTCTGTCTGTCTATCTGTCTGCCTGTCTGCCTGGTCTGTCTGGTCTGTATGTATGTATGTATGTATGTATGTATGTATGTATGTATGTATGCATGTATGCGTGTGTGTGTGTGTGTCTGTCTGTGTGCATGTGCGCATGTGCGCATGTGCGCATGTATGTAGGTATGCATGTATGTATGCACGTGTGCATATGTTGACTGATATATGGCATGCTGCATCAGACTTGCAACGAACCACTTTTAGTGCCAAGCACCTGACGTAGTCTAGACTTCCTACTGTAGTTCGTTCTGCGACTAAAACAGCACCATTGCTAGTGCTACGACTGCCCCTCATGCTGCGGCAACTGTTCTGTTTCTATGCCTGGCGTTCGCTAAACTCGACACCCCAAACCCTAACCCCCTAGAGCCTAAACGCTAAATCCTAAGCCCCGAAACCCCTAAACCCCTAAACCCTAAACTGGCTACGCTCTTGCATGTTCGGGTGCCTGCGCTCGCAGCCCGCTCGGCTGCGCTCGCTGGCTGCCTCCTGGATCTGCAGTGCAGTTTTGGGTTTCGTGATTAGGGCTTGGGGTTTAGGGTTT